TATATATATATATATCAGAGACCAGCTGCGAATACATTCATAAACCGCATACAGAGAACGAGCGCAGACCCCGATCTCACCGAGAAAACAATGACAAATATTGCAAAGGTTACTGTGCAACGAGCATTGACGCAAAAATATCCATACATTAGAAAAAGACTAATAGATTAGTTTGTAGAACAGAATAACTGAAGCTTCGTACTGAATAAACTAACAATAAATCGGAAACACTAGATTAAAATACGCCTGAATTCAGGACAAAGTCAATCAATTATTAACCGAGGCAATTATCGAATTTACGCCAAATTCATGGAATGAAATAATGAGAAAGCTGAGTGAACATTGGCAAATTACTTCAACAAGAGAATCGGAATACAACAACTCACCAACAATATCGTTATCATCATCATCATCCACTTCACTCACATGTACAACCCCACAGTGCTCGTCGTCTTCGGTCGGCATTTCGAGGTTGTCCGTGCTGTGATGATTGTTCGATGTTAATGTCTTCTGATGCGACGTTGACGGATTCAGATCCGGTGGAACTGTTGGCCCATATGTTCCTTCCTCTTCTTCGTCTCCTTCACCCTCTTCTTCATCTGCCCCTCTTTGCTAAAATTATTCCATTCTCTGTTGAAAGCAGGCAACAAATTCAAATAATTTCGAATTTTAATCCAGCGTCCGGGTAATCAATTCATTGTCGTTCTTTTCTGTGATTAATATAAATGTTGTTATCAGATTTGTATACAAACAAAATTACCCGGAAACATCACATGACTAAGTAAAGTGAATTGTATTCGTAAACGTCCAATACGACTTATTATCGAAAACTAATTTCATTAGACAGTGCTAAATTTAAATCGTTTTCAACCGCAGATAAAACCAAATGCAATAGTCCTTTCTCATTTCGAATATAACAACGACTGAGATTCAAATAAATTCTCTCCTTCAGTAGTCCCTTTTTGAAATACACCAATCAATTATCTCGAAACATTCTCGACAGCAACAAGAATATAAAATCACTGAAACTGTAAGGCAATTTGCTTCAGTGAGCATAGTGAAGATAATATTAACAGGCAGAAAACGCTAATGGGAATTTATGAGTTTTTCTGCGATATGAACACAACAGAAATTCCCTCGATAATTGCATGTGAGTCGAACGATTAGAGATGATAAAGCTATGGAACGTGATAATGTTCTGATTATATGTGCCGAGAAAACGTGGCAGAATAATTCATGAAAAAATCTTTTGAAATGTTGCCTATGGTAACGGCATTTTTGTAGGAATTTAATGAAACGATTCTCGTAATGATATCCCCATTGTACCAATTTAATTAAATACCACTTCACTATTTTTCTCCGTAAGCATTCGTGGACTGTGATGTCCATTCACAGCCATTTGAGAAATAACGAACTAGATCTGAGAACGAAACCTGTCAAAATATATTACAACTTAATACTTGGATTACTTCTCAACGATTATCACAAACCACACTGAACTGAATGCACCACTCAAATGAATAACAATCATGAACGCCACATTCACGAATCAGACAATATCCAAAATTCCAATTCATTACAATTATATCATCACATCCGATTACTCATTGAGCAGCCACTTATTCATTACTGAGTCCCATTGAAACAGAAAATTACATTCGAAGCAATATCTCAACAGAGTTTGGCTATCAAGGAGATTGTAGAAGTGCATCAAATAATGTCCTAAGATGTAAAATGACACACATTAAAACAAAGAAAGGCTGAAAGAAACGAAGTGATTAGAGATTTGAAATTAGACGGATTTGAAAGAATTATGCCATATACCATTTCAAAGAGACAATGATTCGTAACAAACTGATACGTTACCAGTACGATCAATGCAAGATAGAGATAGTCTCCAATGAAAATTAAAACATGGCAACAAAACATCAATTGATCAAGGTAACCTGATGATGTGAAACAGTCGGTAGGAGGTCAGGCACGACAGGTCCAATAATGGTTCTTGAATCAGATCGAGCGTTGCTCAATCTCGATGACGACGACCAACTCGGTACACCTCTCGTTTCCTCGGGTTCTGGTGGAGGCATCGTTGAAGAGGTGAAGTGACCTGCACAAAATTATTGAAATGACTTGATGTGGCTCATAGCCCTCAGTTCAAAACATAGTAAACATGTTGATCTAATTTCAACGATAGAAACTCAAGATAATGCAATAAAGAATCTGCTTCGCCAGATTTCTTCCACAAGGAACTGCTCAAAATGTGAATCGATTTTTCTGAAGAACATTTTAAAAAACGTACGACTGCGATATAAACGATCAACTTTATCGGAGAATTTGCTCAATGCACAAATCATAACTCAAAATAAGACAACTACAAAACGCTAGATACGTGAGAGGCTAAACAATTAAAAAAGACGGACGCTTAAACAATGTTTCCTATTCGTAAATCAACTGCCAAAGCAAAGAAACGATTAAGAGATAATTGTTCAAAAAGAAAATACCTTGAAGACGTGGTCGAATCTCGTCGTCAGGAAGCGATGGCGAACAATCGCCAAATCCCGGTGGAACAGCCGGTCCTATCGGGCCGATTCGAGCGGATGATGATGATAGAGCAGATGCGGACGGACGATTCACTGACTCACTCATTCGCCCTTCTACAAGAAGTAAGCGTAACACATCACTATATCAGGCGAATCAGGATTCAATTTTAAAACTTCTTTTGCGAATCACTATAACGTAATACGGACACAAGTGTGCATGTCAACCAAACATTCGATTGAAGGTGATGAAGTGTAGCTTATAAAGGAAAAGAAAAAAGTGTCCATGAAATGAAGTGATTCGAAAATTGTAAAGAGCAGAGAATGAAGCTAAACCGCCGAGTTAAAAAGAAGCCAACATAAGTCCAAGTGTAAGCCCATGTTTGTGTTTAAACATAAGCATGAAATTGAGAAATGAGAGGTACGAGGAAAAGGACATTTCGGGAGCGAGGTAATAACAATCAACTCGAAGTTATCAATGTAAATATCACATTAAAGATTAAGAAAACTGAGAGATAAACATATCAAAACAGCGATGTGTAACATACCTGAAGAGCATAAATTTGGTACCTTCGATCGAGAATCATTTTCGTCTGGATCTTCTGGATCACCCGGATCTTCAGGATCATCCTCTTCATTGTGGCCATCATTCAGCATGAAACCGGGCGGCAAAGCCGGTCCTGGCAATAGAAAATGTTCAAGCACTTTCTTCTAAGAACCAAGCATTTAGCATAAAACTTCGACCGAGACTTGAATTTTGGAATTTTTCTTTTGCGTCATTTTATGTAAGAAATAAGGTTGATTTCTCGAAAACCAAAAACCACTTTGTCAATTAAGTGGCGATTACTGAACGTACAAAATCAGATGATTAAGCGATAAAATGGACGGGTAAACATCCGATGTGAAATGAACATAGTCGCACTTTAGAAAATGGCATCGTTCAAGGTCATAATCATGTATGAATAAGTAAAAACATGACATCTCAATAGACAGATATGACAATAGTTTCCTCCCTCAGTGCTTTAAAAAATTTCTTTCATCAGCTGGAATTATTCCACCAACAGTGAAATCACTTCTGTTCATTAAAAATAAATTTGACACAAACAACAACGGCCAATACAGTAATGAATCAAAAACAAACCGAGTGGTCGAGAAGAAGATGCATTCGACGAGCATGGTTGATCATGCTCATCAAAATGTTGCGGAAGACTGCTTGGTAGCTGATCAAAGAAGGATGTTGATGATACTTGTTTCCCATTGTTATTATTAATCCTGTTATCACCACCACTATCGTTAGTATTGTTTTCATCTCCACTACTGTTCACCGCTTTTATCGAATGCTTCACATCTGGCGGTACAGATGATCTCTGCTCGCGTTCATCCGCACTACGAATTCGCGATGAGGACGGTGATGGTGACGTTGACGCGCCCATATCGAATCCTGATTATCAACATCATCACTGCTTGAAGAATCAATCTGATATTGATACATCAAACATCACAAAAAGTAATCATGTCAGATGTGACAATGCATTTATAAAGTAAACTCTCATAGGATATAATCTGCACAACTTAATATATTTTCCAGCATAAACTTCACCTATAATGCTGCTTCAAGGTGAAGTTCGAATACAATGAATAACATTATTATGAAAAGTAATCATTACAATCAAACGAGCTCCATTATTACGTCTCATTTGATATCAGGCCTGCTAAACAATATTCATGTTCACATGTATCTCACACTAGACATTTTCATATGGGAATCCATCATTTGTGAGTTCAAGACTTCGCTAATTAAACTGAAATACAGGTCACATTCGAAAGAGCAGTTTCATTTGGAAGTGCATAGCAGATGAATCAAATAAAAAACCATTTGTTACGCTGACAAAGAGTGCGAGAAAGAATGGTCGCAAAACGGTTACCAGAGAAATTTTCAATATAATTTGATGTAATTCATTAATTTTTCGACTATGGAATTTGCAAACATTAAGCACTATTCAATTCATCATGACGCAATAAATAAATATTGGGATGTTTAAATCTTTCGAGTCAAAACAATGATGAATTGAACAGCACAGGTTTAGAGGTAATTCTGGAAGTGGAAGTGATTTTGAAGTAATCAAGAAACGCAGACAATGATGACCTATGAATCAGTCGTTTTTGATAAATAAAAAGCTCAAATTAAACTGACGGTTGACGCAGATGTAATATGTCAAAACAGTAAATATCAGAACGATATTGAACAAAAGGTATGTGATAGGGGTATAAATACTCAAATGAGTTAGCACTAACCACGTGGAAGCGTAGGACCAATAGTGACTGGCTGTTGATCCTTCGGGCTACTGCTGCTATGTTCATCATTCTCCAAATCAGATTCGTTATAATCCAGTTCTTCGGTTGGATCGAATTCATCCCATGAAGGTAACTGCAATGCACAATCGGGTGGTGGATGTGAAGATGACATCAGCGCTTTCTGATTACTGATGGCTTAATTCTGAAGTACACTTCTATTATTTTTGTCTCTTCGAATACGATACATATCAATTAAAACACAGAATGAACTCTGCATAATTGTTTAAACATCAACGATCATTTACAATTTATGACGTTTTCAAACACATTCTACAAAAACATTGCTTTGATTTATAAATTATTCTTAAGTCATAATGATTTTCGCAACTGCGTGCGACTTCTGCTTGAAAAAAAGCATATTCATATGGGTCTGTCACTCGTGTTCTCTCTCATGATGAGGGAACACGTTCTTGAGAGTCGTCGATTATTTTCTGCAAATGATGTCTATTTCTCAGTTACCTTCTTCAAAATGGCATCCCCAACAACCAGACAAAAATCACCTCTACAAAGGGGGAATTTTTTTCACCCTCATTTAAGATTCAACATCTGGAAGGAAAACTATACAGAATAATTCAAAAGATGAACGTGTGAATTGTTTCAAAAATGTTGTAAAAGAGGATACAATCAATCGGAACTGAAATAGTGCAGACAAGGAAATGCGACGCAGACGATGGAAAATAATGAATTTCATCGCGGAAAAACATTTGCCGATGTCTCGCAACTTAGATTATACGATGGGATTACGTTATATGATGTTTCGCAAATTATCTAGAAATGCAAAGTTTTTTCAGTGAACGATGAGCACGCGGTTAAGCACAGTGATTGAAAAACCTACAAAATTATCATAGCAAATCAATTTAAAACGTTAATGTGGAGAACAACAATCCAAATATTTTATGATTGACTGAGAAAATTTCCAAAAGAATGTGATAATAGCGGAAACAGCAGAAAAAGATTTGAAAAAATATTGTCACGATGTGCTAAACGACTGAAGAAACACGGACGTATGGAGAAAATTTCAAATAAGTAAGAAGCTATAGTTACGGGAATTACGAGAGAAACACCGACGAATAAAAATAGCAATTTCACGATCAGGCACTGTAAGAAGAATATGATAATAACAGCAATAATAAAATGTAAAATTATAAAAATATTCCTATCCAAGTGCTAGTTGAAAACATACAAAAGAAAAAATTCAACACTGTTCAGACGGCCATAACAAAACAAAGTTCAAAATTGAGTGAAACAACGAAATGAGTGAGCATATACTATGAAAGGAGCAATCATTAGCAATCACTTACTTACTTGATCTGAGAAAAATGATGGAATGGAATGAAAAGAAAAGAAGAAATAAGAGATCGTTCGAACGAAATGAATGATAAGACGAACAAGGGTATAGAGAACAATNCTAGCGTTGCGCGATTTAACAACAAGATTATCAACAACACAACATAGATCGAAAACACCACAAAAACCGATTAGAGACCCTTGAGAATGTCTTTGTCAGTTTACAGATTGCTAAGAATGAACGAACGATCCAAACTGTGTGATGCTTTCTTGTTCTCATCCAATTCAATTCCTTAATAAACTTTCAAAAAGCAATCGTAAATCACTTCTTTCTTCTCAATCCGATATAAACAAACAAAACAACATCAATAATCACAACATCCTCTTACCCTCTTTCACAACTCAATGTCAATGCAACCCTAACGAAATACCATACATACACATAATACCATACATACACAACAGAATACCATCCATACACATGATTACATATCTAACAATAAATGACCAATCCAAAAAACCTCATTCTCGAAACCAGTAAACAAACAAGTTTAATACAGTCCCCTATGCATGCGGTAGGTACCATCAAAACGCGACAAACTCGCTTACAAAGTATACACACACGTACCCGTGCGTAGCACAAACTTCGATCGCTGTTCGCATGTGCTTGTCTCTCCATCTCTTAACCATAGTACAATGCGTTCGCAAGGGACATAAGTAATGCGCCACAATGGTAATCTGAGAAATACATGTATAATAATTAATTGACCCGCAAGAGCTCTTGTTATATCCGCATAAGCCTAAGCTGCAACTTGAGCATAAGCATGGAAGCAGGTCTAACGATAAGCTTGCATTCAGGTGCTACCCAAGTGGATGAGTCTAGAAGTGAAGCGAGCGGAACGGTTAAGATGGATGCATTGCACAAATGATGCCAGATCGGTGTTGTGATGAGCGGAACCAACAAAGAGCAAAGTAAATTGAAAGAAAATAAATATGCATGCTAAGTTAACATGAATGAATAAGTAATTCAACGAAAAAAGAGAATATTAACACAGAAATGAGCATGAAACATTCAAGACATATACTAAGGCGAGAAAGCCTAAATGAGAACTGAAAAGGATCACACATACTGCATCTGTCGTCTACGAAACGAAACAAGAAACAAACAAGAATTGAGACGAGACGAGGAAGGATCAAGCCGATTTTAAACAAGGAGCGTTTTGATTTTTTGAATGCGCTTGTAAAGTGGTAATGTGACCGTATACTTCGAAGAAAACTATCGTAGAGTCGGCGCTTCCTCGGTCATGTTCGACACTTGGATGTCATTCAAGGTTATTCGAATCCAACGTTTTCGATAGATTGTTGAGAATAATTCCCGGTCTCTTCGCTAGAGGGGGCCAATTGGAGCTCGATTTGATTCAAAGCCTTCATGCGATTATTTTTCTGATCAACGACTTGGATTTGTTGACCAAAACTTGTTGGTGCAAATGCTGAGGTCATCTCCAGTGGTGTGGACCTCATAAAGTTACGTTTGGTTGCATTTATCTCAGTTCTTTAAACTTTTTCAATTTCACACATAGCAACAGATACCACCACTAGAAACTTCCTAACCGAAACGTACAAGTGATTCTACTCGACGCTTCTTCCACAACAGAGTAGTTAGATCAAAACCTATATTCGAATAAAACCTATATTCAACATTTCCTTGGTCACAAACGCAGCTCAATACGACAAATACAGTATAGTATGTGTGATCCTTTTCAGTTATCATTTAGGCTTTCTCGCCTTAGTATATGTCTTGAATGTTTTATGCTCATTTCTGCTCTAATATTCTCTCTATTCGCTGAATTACTTATTCACTCATGTTAAATTAATTATGTAAAGAAATTATATAAAGGTAATTATGTAAAGAAATTGAAGTGTCTGAAGTGTTTCTTCTGAATTCAGAGATTCTACTCGATCGACTGGTGTGAAGAAATTCATATGTTACTGGTCAAAGCAGAGGGTGCGGTAGGTTTGGATGTGCCACCCCGTATAGCATCAGAAAAATAGCTTTATCTCCTCGAAGAGGCGGAATTTTCCAGTGAGCTTTTCATTTTTACAAAGCAGAGATTTTGCTAAATCGAACGATGTACAAACTTGATTATGTTTCACGGCAAACTTGAAAAGACGGTAGGCTTGAATGTACCTATGTTCCTCAAATAATGTACAATATGCATAGATCTATTGTGATCAAATGCGTATCAATGAGCACCTCAACGACAGTTCAGATAGTTTTAATCAAATAGCTATAGCTCCTCAACTAAGCGAAATGGCCCGATAAAATATATATATTTCTGAATGCAGAGATTCTGCTCGACCGACTGGAGTGAAGAAATTCATATGTATAGGTCAAAGCTGAGGGTACGATAGGTTTGGATGTGCCAACCCCTAGAGCATCAGAAAAAATAGCTTTATCTCCTCGCAGAGGCGGAATTTTCCAATGAGCTTTCCATTTTTAGAAAGCAGAGATTCTGCTAAATCGAACGATGTACAAGCTTGATTTTGTTTCAGGGCAAACTTGAGAATGTGGTAGGCTTGAATGAACCCATGTTCCTCAAATAATGTACAATATGCATAGATCTACTATGGTCAAATGCATATCAATGAGCACCTCAACGCCAGTTCAGATAGTCTTAATCAAATGGCTATAGCTCCTCAACTCAGCGAAATCGCCGGACAAAATA